GTGCTCATCTTCTTCAATTTTGTAATAATTTTAAAGATCCAGGTGTTCAACATTATGGAAATGGGAACCTTTTCTCAGACATACGTGATGAGATGGATGATATATTTTGCAGTCTACCTGCTCCAAAATGTTCAAAAGATGGTGCTAAAATAAATATGTCAGTTTTTTATAATGCTGCTGGTGGATGTTTTTATGGAGAATGTAAAGTACATCTTATAAATGGAACAACTAAATTGATAAAAGATATTAAACCAGGTGATCGAATAGCACCACATGGTAGAATGATTAGATTTGTTGTTAAAACAATATGTCAAAATCAAAAAGCAAATATGGTTATAGTGAGTATCAAATAGTTTCAAATGAATAAATTATAGTTATTTAATTTTCTTTTTTTTGTTTTTGTTTAATTTTCAAATGATTAGTTTATTTGTGATTGAATTTGTTAAACTTTCTTTTGTTTTTTTTTCTATAGCTTGAAAATGATTTGATCATTACTGCATGGCATCCAATTCGATATGCTGGAGAATGGATTATGCCTTGTTCACTTGTTTCATCAGTGAATGAAATTTCTTGTGAAGCTATATATAATTTTGTATTAGATCAAGGTCACACGATGTTAGTCAATGATGTTGAATGTGTAACTTTAGGACATGGATTTAAAGAAGATGTTGTTCGTCATAGTTACTATGGAAGTGAAAGAGTAATTAATGATTTAGAAAGACTTAATTTGGAACAAAACAATGGAGGATTGATTGAAATTACTGAAAAAATGTTGATACGTAATATAAAAAGTGGTCTTGTAGATGGATTACAATCATAACAAATATTAATTCAATAAACGAATATAAAATCATTTCTTTTCACCTGTATGATTTGTAAATAAATTTAGAATTTCAAATAGCCTCTTCTCTTTTTTTATAGGAACAAAAAGTTTTTATTAAATCGAATAAAAATCTGTAGAAATATATACTGTTTTTATATTGTAAAATTTTACTTTTAATAAGATAACAACGTTCATATGTTTGTTTTGGGTGGATATTAGTCTTTTGTTTATTCCCATCGATACACACACTCTAACTATTATAGGTATGTGAGTCATGATTTTAATGATACTATCAGTGAATCATGTCATACATTGGATTGTCGAGATATCTGTCACTGCATATTTAGCATACTAAATAATCATTGATGTTTGGTCAAAGTCAGCTCTTATAGGTTATTTTCTATTTTAATTTATTTTCCAAACATTTCTATATATTGACTATTTTGAAATAATCACGATAGGAAATTTTTCAGATACGTTATAGTTTTGTATAATTTTTTTTATTATATTAGTAGTATAATGGATCTTAAATGAATGTAATATAGTTTCATTTTTTTTATATTTATAAAAACGATCATTATTAATGCTTGAGATATTATTTAAAGCTCTAAATGACAATATTTATTGAAGGCAAACAGTTTCCAAACATATCTTTTATTTCAGAGGAATTTCAAAGCATATGAGTCGAGTGTTTCTAAAAAAATACATTTCAAAAAATCTTTTCATATATATTCGAGAAACTTATTAATCTACGCAGTTTTACCTTGAAAACATTCCAATGAGTAACAAATTAGCCAAGAAAGGAGCACTATGTTTGGATCGAACTTATCGCATCAGTTGTACAACCATCAGCTGTAGGTTGTTTCACTCTTCTTACAATTATTTTTCAGAATCGCGTCATTGCCCAATTAATTATATCATGATCAAGATCAGAGATTTAGAACGTGCCAAAGTTAATGCATGTGCTAAAGATGATTTACATGAAACTCTTTTATGTTAATTACATCAACGACAAATGACGACTTCATCGTGAAATGAACTATTGCGATTCTAACCAATACACCAATAGCTTGTGAAAACCCTATATTGAATTCAATTCTCGTCAATAATTTATTTTCATCGATTGACAAACGAAGTTTAATGATTGAGAGATATGTTCAGATTCTCGGAAAAGGAAATTATCATAATTTCCGATACACACAAGAGAAATGACCGAAATTATCTCTAAATTATCAAAGAAATTTCGCTAATTTCAACTACATGCTAGCAAAATTTTCGAAATTAGCTAGAAATTACCAGAATGATATTAATATACCTAAGATTGATAGAAATATACAAGAAAAACCCATCCTCGACGTATACAGAAGTTTCGATAATTACGATAATTACCGTAATTTCTATCTGGTCTACGAAATTACCATGAAAATTTCATAGAAATGTTCGTAATTTCTGTTTCATTTTGTTACAGATTCACATGATAATTACAGTACTTTCTGTAATTACTTTTTTGGTTTGAGTAATTTCCATAACTTCTCTTTTCTGAATTCTGAACTCAACGATTATTTTTTTCCATATAGAAACTTAATAGAGCGTTGTAATCAGTACGGTAGGATCGATTTTGATTGTTGTAACTGTAATAAATATGTTCAAGTTATTGTTATATCGAAGTCTATAACAAAAAACTAATGTTCCATTTTTTTAAAAGCTTATTGAAAACCTGTTATATCTATTACTGCTTTCGTTGCAAAGTCGACTGCTACGAGGCGACCTCTTCTATAGATCTGTAAACGTAACCAATAAGATAGATAAACCCAGAAAGAAGAACGAAGGTCCTCATGTTAATATTTCTTTATGAAGTAGAAGAAACTGTTATCTTTTGAATATTCAACGAAATGTAGCCAGGTAAAATATGTCGGAAAGGTCTACGAAATAGTTTAAAGTTTAATAACTTAGTTATTTTTAACATTTGCTAAATAATCTAAACTTTTTATTCGATCTAATACAAATTAAAAGTAATATTTTATTTAATAATATAAACTTTTAAAAAAATTAAAATATTTAATTAATTCAATTCTGATTCTGTTTTTTTTTTATTTCTAATTATCTTCGAATAATTATGTGTAAAATTTATAGATGATATTTCTATTGTTGAAATCTTTTCTGTATAAATAAATCTTTTGTCTTTTTTTGTTTTGTTTAGAACCTATTAAGATGGTTATTTTATATTATAAATAAGATTTAGTGTCATTGATTTTTGTGCATTGATTTATAAATTCTTTTTTATTTCATATTATTTATATTAGAAGAAAAAGATAAATTAAGAAAACATTGTTCACCATCAAAAACTTTTAATCTATCTCAAAAAGCATTAGATTTTAATATCGAACTTTTTTTTTGTATCTTCTTTCAGTTTAATCTATCATCTTCGAATAACACGTAATATCATAATGTATGACAAGAATGGAATTGAAAAAAAATGCAGATATTTTAACTTACTGCCTCCACAACGATTCGAGAAGAGTCACTGATAAATTAACTTTATAAATAGAGTATTAGCCTGTCTAATATACTAACGAAGTGGTCTGATCCACCGAGTGTTCATATTTTTATGTAGAGTCCTGTGATTGATCCAATCATCGAGTGGTAGAGAAAAGGAACTTGACGACATGTTAAGCCTTGATCTTTTTTTTTCTTTGACTACATTATTGAGAAGGCAAAAGCAACATTAATTCCATGTTATTGTAGTAATAGAAAAATAGACGAAGTGAACCAATAAAAATTAATGTTAACATCTACTTTGCTTTGAACCATTTTATAACCTCTGAAGACATTTAATTCATATTGAGTACTATTTGATCTTCCCATAAGTTAAGGTTTATAATACATTTATTAACTTTGTTCTTGATTATCCTTCAATTGTCTAATAATGGCTACATGATCAATTGTATATCTTAGTATGTATAATTCACCGAGTTACCATGAAGTTTTTGAAACATGTCTAACTCACTAGTAGAATCCTTCATTAGTTTATATCATGTAGAAATTCTGAAAGATCTCTATTGAGTGCAGGTAACGAACATTTCATTTCGAAAGATTCGATTTTTTCCATTTTTTTAAAATTATCGATTTTGTAGGTCCGATATTTAAAAGACGAAACAATGAAAAAATTATTCTTTTTAATAGTTAATAGTCCATGGAGTTCACTATAAGAAATGTTCTTATCGTTTTCAAATTCATTGCTTTTTTTATTTTCTGTAATCGTTCTACAAATGTTTTCTCTATTTATCAACAAGGGAAGGGAGGTAAAGAATTAAAGAGATCTTCTTAGATTTTCGTTGTTTTCGTTTCATGTTGAAAAATTAGATTTTAATTGTTTTACTCGTTCGATTGCATTCATTATCAAATAATTATTTCATTCTATTTTTTATTAAACACCCTTTTGCTTATAAACATATTGAAAAAGTTGAATATATTAAGTTCTTTTTTTTATAAAAAGTTAAGATTTATTAATTCTAAACGCTTTACAATAGTCCACATATTTCAATATTCATTTGAATATAGGTAATTGATAAATTGATTTAAACGACATTTAACGAATTATTTAGAGAAAAAATGAGTAGATTTTAACTTTATATAACATTATATCAATGTTTTCTTGTTGTGAAAAAAAGAAAGTTGTTATGTAACAGATTCGTCTTTGTAACGTAGAACACGAAAAATCACTGATAATCTGAAAGAATTTCACACTGAGTATGATTTTTCACTCTGTTTGTCTATTCTCTGTCTTTGTCTTAAGAGATATATATATCACGCATCTACAATAGGATATTAAGTAAAACATTATAAATGACAAAAGAAAACATCGAGTAAAATTAAACGAACAAATAGATAACATTATATATTGTTTCTTTAACGTATGTATCATAGGTACCTTTTCAGATAGTTAATTACTTTTCACAAAAAAGAAAATATGAATTGGATTTTCCAAAGTAGTTTTTACGATTAAGAGAAAAGAAATGAAAATTGATTTTATCCTAAAGTATTGAATGGCGCATTTATCAATTTTTCATCAAATAATGATGAAAATTTCAAATGATTGATTCAACTTAGAACGTATTCGATATCAATCATATTATTTATTTATTTATTTATTTATTTATTTTAAACAGGATAAATAATGTCACAAAATACAAACACACGAGTTCCATTTAATGAAATCGAAGGAATAGCATCAACAAATGTTCCAGCCTATTCAAATGAAAAAAGTCATTCTTTTAGATCTGGTCGTCATTATATATATGGAATTTTTACTGGTTATCAATGGCAATGTGTTGAATTTGCTCGTCGATGGTTATTAATACGTAAAAGCTGTACATTTAAAGATATTCCATGTGCAGCTAATATTTGGACTGATGTATCATATATCGAACGAGTTATAGATGGTAAACATTTTCAATTACGTCTTATTCCAAATAGTTCTCCACAACCACCAAAAAAAGATTCATTACTTATTTATCGTCGTAGTAATAAAATGCCATATGGACATGTTGCTATTATTACTGATGTAACATCAGATTATGTTTATATTGCTGAACAAAATAATTTATATCATTATTGGCCTGGTGATTATGCTCGTCAAGAACGATTAAAATTTCATGATGGAAATTATTATATTGATGATGAAGATCCAATTTATGGTTGGATAGAAATTGAAAATAATGATGAATTGCAACCTTTTGATGAATTGAATATTGCTAATATACTTCAGCAATATTTAGGAGCTTAATCGATGGATGAAGTTTAACATTTATCCTATTTAAACAAGCATATGAACTATAAATAATGAAATAGTTCATCTATAGATGAATTGGTTTTTTTTTTATATTTTATTAATGTAAAAGATCTTTTTTTTTATTTTAAATATTAAAAAAAATGAATTCCTATAAAATGAAACTTTAACAATGTACGATAAGAATAATCAATAATGAATTAGAATTCTGTACATTATCTCATCGTTTAATAAATTGAGTTTCTTGCTTTGTGCTCTGTGACTTTGTCAAACATTAAAAAAGTTGACTTACTAAGATATTTTTTTAAATGTTTATTTTGAAATTTTATTGTTTCTTTTATTTATAGACGATCCTGATGATTATTGATGTACGTGAAAGATCGTCGTTAACAGTTATGTAACTAGGATAGATAAGAGATAAAGTTTAATTTTGCCTATTTGAATTTTAAAAATGTTATAGTTTCTAGACGTGTTTCAATTTCGAATCTTTCAGAAATTTATAAATTTATTTTGTGTTATGATTTACAAGACTATAACATAATTCAAAGAATATCTCAGAATCTACATCTATGAAATTCAACGAAGGAACAATACCCTGATCTCTTTCGGCTACCCCGTGACAGATTCAGGAGGCCAAAATTTTCCCTACAACTAATGCTAGCTGCAGTTCTGGACAGATGATCAGTCCGACGCCGAACTCTTCAATACATACTAACTAATCACAAGAGCAGATGTGTGTCACAACATAGTCAGCATGCTATCGAACGGGTGATCCAAGACAAACATTCGTTAATGACTTATCCAAGGTCATTCTATGGCTGGTGGTACAGAGGTTTGAATACAGCAATTGTGGATACATGCCGAATAATGCAGTCACTCAGCTATGGCGGCTGAAACTCAACAACTATCATTATTGAATAGAAAAACAAGATAGATATAGTTTCGCATGAATTCAATTTTTATCTGTATTTGGCTCTCTATGAAATGTAATCTTTTGAATAGAAGACTATAATTTAAATGGTACGTTTGAATTAAATCAAACCAATTTAAAGATGTTGATCGGTAGTACATATTGAATCGAATGGAGTTCAAATGAAAGACTAATCGGTGACTCGAAAGTAATTTTATATGTTCAATTAAGTATTATATCGAAGAAATAATTTTTAAAAAAATTTGACTTTTTCAAATGTGGACTCTAGATCTGTTAAACTGAATTATTTCTAGTTGGCCGATATTTCGAAAAAAGTTCATAAAAATGGCATAAAATGTATTTCAGATCAAGTAATGTCAACTTGTTTAAAACTTTTCTGTTGACCATCAAAACTAACATTCAAAGACCACTGGTACGATAACTAATGCAAAAATGAACGATGAAAAATGCTATAATATGAGAAATCTGATTCATTTGCCTGTCAAAATGATGATGTGTGCGTATAAACACACATTATCATGACGAAAGCATATTGGAATCTATTTCTAACGACTAAATAATCATCAAGATGATAAAAAGTAGAACACACTTAGAGAATGAGTTCGACAAATTCAGTGAACAAGCAATGATGACTTCTTTAAATCGTAAATAATCTCTAGTAGTTTTTACACATTGTTCTCTTCTTCGACTTGACATCTTCTTTGATTAATGGCTGAAATAAAACTTGCTGCACTGATACAGAATTCAATAATCGAGTATAATGTCACTTGACCAGACCATTTAAAGCTTATCAATTAATATTTCGATGTGTCGATGTATTATAGAAAGCATCAGACAAAAATCAAACTCTCATGGAGTTGCATAAGACGAATAATGATCAATCAATGGCTTCGTTTATAAAAAGATCGTGAAAAGTTTGACAAAGATACTATGAATCATGATAAACGAATTCAAATTACATTGATTCTTTCACGAGAAGAAAGAATATCAAATGTAGTATATTACTTGCATATTAGAAGTAGTGTATGTTTATAACTTTAAGAGATCATCGAATATGCAAACATTGATCGACAACTGAATCAATAACAAACTTAATATTCAGTATTTTCGAAATAAACCAGAAATAAAATGAATCTCGAAATTCTACTCATTTTTGATACCGAAGTTTTATCACAAGATAAATCAATATTTAATGACAATATCTAATTATTCCTGTCTGATATTTTTTTTTAATAACTATTATTTGATTCATCTATACTAAAGAAATTATATTCCATAATAATATAATTGAATAATTATAAAAGTCATTGTTCTGACATTGACTATCTACAACTCAATTCCAAGAATAAACATATTTAAATCAAAGAAAAATTTTGTTTGAAAATGTTCTAGACATTTTAATGTTCAAAACTACAATAACCATTTGTACTAAAATAATAAAATAAAATTTCTAAAACTTTTTCTAATCATACTTTTTCACTCCTTGAAAATCTTTAATGAAAATCATTATTATTTCTTTAATGCAAATGATATTTTGATGGTGTTCGATATTTATTATTAGCTTTTATAAATAGTAAGATTCTATGATAGAATATCCTTATCAAAAAATCAAAGAGAACAATTAGAAAACTGAAGTAATAGGAGGAGCATTCTAACTGTGTTGTAATAAGATTCCATTAATTGTTGGTGGTAATACATCGACCAATGTTTGACCATCGATTTGTTGTCGAACAATTTTAACTAATAAATCATAAAGTCCATTCATTTCTCCTGGTTGTAATTGATTTGAAAATAATAATTTAACAAATTCAATGGCTTGTGGTTCTAAACTTTCTAATGATTTTTCTTGTTCCCTTGTTAATTTTTCATCTCCAAATTTAATTGCTTTTTGTATTGCAGTAATAAAATCAATCTTTGAGTAAGCTTGAAAAGCTTGTAATTCTTTTAAACATCTCAAAAGAAATTCATGACGTACCATGCCAAATATTGCTGCAGCATCATCGATACCATTGCGAATATTTGCTGGAAGAACATTAACCATTTGATTGATAAGAACCTACGAGATACAAACAGAGTTATGTAATAAAAATTATGAATTTATTTGCAATATAACATACTTGTTGAAAAAAGTTTCGTGACTAAAATAATAAAAAGAAAAACTATTATTATTATTATTATTATTATAGTAGAAATCATAATTTATTAATACTGTTAAAGTTAACTGTTTTTTTTTGTTCCTCTTTTAACAAATAATATCGATTTAAAGAAAATCAATAGAGTCAGATTTTGCTATGCAATGATATTATTCTTTCTAACATTTTGACTATTATTTTTTACAATTACGAACTAATCTTAGGTGCAATGCTTTGATAAAATATAGAAAAAGTATCACTCTTTTCAAAATATTCTTGTTAATTAGAATTGAAATTTTATTTTAAACATCTTTGTATAAATATAAACATTATTAAATTATATATGAAAAAAATAAATCTGAACAACACTTGTATATACTAAAACAATAATATCTTATTTGATGTCTTGTTCATGTTGATGTCAGATTCGAAAGGGAACAAACTATTCTATGAAAATTGAGTATTACTTCAGTTAACTCGATATTTGTTTTTACTACTACGATGAATAATAATTTTAATGTTAAACTTGTCCGATAAAACTAAAATAAAATATATGTTTGTTTAAATCAATAGCAACAGATAGAATTGATTTTGATAATCTCAATCTTAAGAGAATTAAATTCATTTTTTTGTCATTTCAAAAAGTTTATTCAATTAATTTGTTGAGAAGAAGCTTAAATATTTCTATAAATCAGTTTAGAATAGAAAAGAAGAACTATTTTAATTTTATGTTATGACAATAGAACAAACCTGTGGACGTGCAACTTCATTGTCAACAATAGAATCTATTAACACTGACCGATATTCAGCAGTGAAGCCAACGGCAAAAAGTGCAAAGAGGGTAGTGATGAGGATAGTGAACGATTGCATGGTTGTAATGTAGATAGTTACTACGTAGAATTGCTTGTGTGATGATATTTATAAGCATAGTATCGATAGGGCATAGTGTCAAGATAGTGAGAAACTTACCAAATGTGATTAGTACTTATTTGATAATAGTTTATTTTCAAGGGCATATTCTATTGCTATGTCATATAGTATTTACCCTTTCTTAAAAAACACCGACTTGAAGCTATCGATCGTCCACATTTACTATGAGAAAAAATATCATATGTTTATCTTTATGTATTTGAATGGATACTAACACCCACTTGAATGAAAATAAACGTATGAAATGAGAGTCACAATCACTTATTTACGTCTATCCAATATCGTTTAAATGTTGAAAGTAACAAATCTGTATGCAACTTGAAAAAGAAGTATTGGCTCTTCATTATCATATGAGAGATTTTCAATTATATAGATAAATAAATAATCATCAGAGTTTATTTCTGAAACATAATAAATCAAAAAGTTTTATTTTCTTTTGTCATCTCAAATTTGAAGTCAATAAGTTTTTCTTCTCGCTTCATATTATTTAGAAAAAAAAGATGTGATTCAACAAATTGAAAATGTATCACAGCAGAAATTATCGATTGCATATTATTTCTATAAATTTCATAGACGAAAATAATTCTTTGTTTTTGTTAAATCTAATTATTCCTCGAAGAAAAATTGATTTTTCCTAAGATAATCATAATTATTAATTAGAAAGTGCGAATAATAACTTGACGAACTAGATCAATAAACTAAATAAAGAAATGGATAATGAAAAATATTGTCACAATTTATCATTCGTCATGGTTATGAATAGTCAAAATGAATGAAAAAAAAATCATTTGTCATCTTAGAACGGCACAGATACTTCATCGTATGCTTTGATACCTGAATTTTCTGCTTGAAAAACGGATCTTTTTTCTTCGAAATTTAGTAACAACATGACAAGTTCGAATGCTACGGTCTGTACTTGTCTTAGATAGGTTCGATGACCTCCTTGGACCACTGATAGGAATCTAAAGAAAGAATTCAATGATATATTTTTCAATATATATGTGATAATGCAAGTTAAATAAAAAAGCTTTAGAATTTGAATGTCATCTATAAAAAGTGTAACAAACAATCTTTAATTAATTGTATAGTTTTTTTCTCTTAAATTTTTTTATACAATCTATCTGTTATTAAAGTTAATACTATCATAGATTAATATTATTCTTCATAGACTTTATCAGAATGACGGCAGATGTAGAACGTAATAGTAGCATACATGCTATTGAGGTATGAATAATAAAAGAATATTGATGTTGTGTGTTTGTATATTATTTCGACTACTACCTAGTGTAGTAAAGAGTATTCTTTTGATAAAATAAACATACTTCAAGTTTATCAAAGTTTCTTGAAAAAATCGTCTTTTCACTTCCTAGGAAATATTACATTGGCAAATAAGTTCTGAGCGTTTGAATCAGTAGAGTTATATCGCCAATATAAAACTACATTTTAAGGCAAGTAATTATATATTCCGATAGAGCTCGGAATTCTCTATCATTCTGTGTATTTAAGTCTTGACTTGTATTTGTTTGCTGAAAAAATATTTTGAATACAGTGAAGACACCCTCATTCGTATTGACAATGTTCGAAATATTTTTCAGCAAATAAGTTCAAGTCATATCTGAATATACAGGACGATAGAGCATTTCAAGAGCTCTCACAATATATAATTACTTTTCTAAAAAGCCGGATTACTGTAGAGATAAAAATTTTAGAAACACATGAGAAAGGAACAAAAAATGAAGTTCGTAGGAATCTGAGGGCGAGGGTGTCTTCACTGTATTCAAAATATTTTTTTTCAGCAAATAAATGCAAGTCAAGACTTAAATACACAGGGTGATAGAGAATTCTGAGCTCTGTCAGAATATATAATTACTTGCCTTAAAATGTAGTTTTATATTGGCCATATAATTCTATTGATTCAAACGCTCAGAACTTATGTACCAATGTAATATATTTTCTCACTCTATCTCCTGCATATAAGACTTCATTTTCTTTTGGAATGTATCTGATTGCGCAGGAAAATAAACATTGAATCACTTGTTTCTTCCAACGGTAATTTCCATTTTCGTCGAATTTTTTACCTGAAACCTAATGTTACCGAATGAATCCATAATCGAACACGATTCTGGATCCGATATGATTTTTTCTATATATAACGTTTTATTATGATTTATCCATTTATTATCAAGTCTATTAAATATGCTACATGATCCAAAACGGATGCCACCAGAAAAAGGTTTCATCTGTCTTAATTTTTACCCAAAAGACTTGTAGCGACAATATAGTCTCTATATTTTCTTGGAGATTCGAGAATTAGATTCAGAGGATGTGGATGTAAGTATCTTCCTCTCCACATTGGTACCTAAATCCACATTCAATTTGGTAACCAATTGAGATGGTAATCAATCGATTTGGTAATAAATAAATAAATTATTTTAAAATGTTATATATAGAATAAATCATATTTGATTCTAACTCTTTTTCGATTATGAATTCTTTCCAAGGAGGAAAAAGCGGACTTTATACTTGAAGTTAATTTGGGCTACTTGAGAGTACTTCGAGCTATTTTAAAATAGCTCGAAGTACTTTAAAGTACTCTGTCGTACTTTAAAAGTACTTTTGGCGTAATTTTACCGTACTATGGCGTACTTGAAGTCCGCTTTTTCCTCCTTGACTCTTTCGGTGATGTTGCAATAGACGAGATACATCGTGGGCGACAATGTATTAATTTCTTCCGACCACGTAAACCTATATCATGGCTTTTTTATCATTCGTTTGTTTACGCATACCTTTTGTACAAAAAAATGAGTGGTTGAGACGCAAGTTTTGTATTATTTCCTTTTCTATATCATGTTTTGACTGTTACGCATCAATTCGTATACATCGTAAAACACGTATTGTACTCGTTTTTTTTCATATTATCTGCGATGTAATATGACTCATGTATATTTTTTCATAACACACGTCATCTGAAAAGGTTTAAATTCATGTTATAAATATGCAAACCTATATGTGAAACAGTAGGAACAAATTTATTAATAAATCGAAAACAAATTCAATTTGAAAAATGTCAGATTCATCGGCATCTTTTCTTTGTCCAATTAGTTATGAACTCATGAGAGATCCAGTCATTGATCCTGATGATAATAGTTATGTGAAAAATGCAATTGAAGATTTGATTCATCAAAGTGATATATCACCAATAACTCGTCAGCTTCTTTCTATCCATGATGTTCGTCCAAATCGAGCTCTTAATATAGCTATTGATGAATATCATCATTCAATTCAATCAGATATTAAATCAAATTCTCTTCTAATAAATGTACATTCATCTGAAATAACAATATCTACAAGTTATACAAATGAATTTATTCATATTTCAATTCAACCTCCACAAGATGAAAGTCGTTCTTCATGTGATATTTGTTGTGTTGTTGATACTTCAGGTTCAATGTCAGAATCAGCTGAAATTCAAAATGATAAAAATGAACAATATGATTTATCACAGTTAGATTTAGTTAAACATGCTCTAAAGACAATTATAAATTCTCTTCAAAGTCAAGATCGATTATCAATTGTATCATTTTCTGATAAGGCTAAAATCTTGTTTCGATTAACAAAAATGGATGATGAAGGAAAAACAAATGCATTGGCTGCAGTTGAAAAATTATCGGTCAGTAAATTATGCAAGAATATATAGAAATTAACGATAGCAATTACTAATGTCTAGAATAGATAACCAGAAATATTTAAATTTAGACTAGATTAAACTGAATAGAAAAATATAGATATTGATTAGAGAACTTAACAATTTTTCGACATGTGCTAAGTGAAGTATTGTAGAACAATGTTTTATTTATCATAGAAGAGTTCAATATAGATTGAAATTTTATAAAAATTTATTTTGAGATTAATCAACTTTCTTTTTATTGTATTTCGTCTAAATTACAACTTTCACAATATACAAATAATTGTTTGGATTTATATTGATGATATTTTATAATGAAGTATTCTTTAATTTGTTTAAAACTTTTATCTAGAGCTATGGTTCAACAAATTTATGGGATGGTCTTCAAACTGGTCTTGAAATTCTATCGAAAGAGCAACATTCAATTGGAAGTATTTCAGCTTTGTTTCTGTTGACTGATGGTTGTCCTAATGTAGAACCACCAGGTGGTCATTTGAAATCACTAAAAAAACTTAAGAAAGAAACTAATTTTACATGTGTTGTTAATACTTTTGGTTTTGGTTATAACTTGGATAGTAAACTTCTTGAAGATATTTCTATATTTGGAAATTGTGGCTCATATGCATTTATTCCTGATGGATCATTTGTAGGAACGATCTTTGTTAATGCTATTTCAACATTGTTAACTACAGTAGCAACCAATGTACAGGTAATAATCTTGTTCGAAACTATGACTATAATTATCTCAAAAAAGGCCTATTTATATGATAAACTAAAGATGAACTTGAACTTAAACTGTGACAGAGATTAATACAAAATTTGTCATAGGTAATACATACATAACATATGTCACAGGCAGAATTCGTTTTTTTATTAGACACAAAACTACGAAATAATTTTCTTTTATTTAAAAATAAATTCTAATTTCCGTTGATATGAAGAAAATATAGCATATACCTGCTTATTTACTAGACAGAATATTCATTTTCACTTATTCATACTGTATTGTACGCAACAATGACTTCTGCATCGACATCGAAAAATAATTTTCGAAAGTATTTTTATAAACGAGTGAATTAATTTGTTAAATTTTTGAAATATTAAATTCCAAGAGAAGGCAACTATTATTTTACCATAGAAAATACATAAGCTTAGAAATTCTTGATGTTTTTATGTTGGAAAATAACTCAACAAAACCTGTACTTTACATATCATATATGAACCAAGTTACATTTGAAGACAAATAAATGTGGATAAAAAAAAATACTACACAAACAGCATGAGTTTAAAAATCCTTTTGTTTTTTCCTTCTGATCAAAATCTGCTAAGAAAAATTGAATTTCAATTGAATACACTCACGAAGTCAACAACTTCATAGATTTAGGTAAAGTTTCAATTAAAGTTGAACATAACTTCATAGAAATATATAAAATCAGTTCTTTATTCTCATTTTTCCAATTTTTTTTTCATTTTTAAATTTTTTAAAAATTTTGTTTAGTTTTCCATAAATCCCAACTTTGCCTGACATATACATATAAGCACATGAAGAAGCCTTTTTAGACTAGACAATTGTATGAAATAGGTAAAATGATTTTGAAAACTTCACATTAAAATTGATCTCAAAAAGTAGACTCAGATTTGTACAATTACAAGGATTATTATTATGATCGAATCGATCATACTCTTTTTCATTTCATATATTCTCTAATAAGAAATGTCAAATATTTTGTTGTCCTTCTATTATAGTTATTAGTTCATAGTCAACATCTTCCACCTACGGATTATACACGTTGGTATTCAACAAATAGTACTAGTGAAGGTACTTATTTCCATTTGGGTTCGATTACATATGGTCAAAGCAAAGATTTATTGATTCCACTTTCTCGTAAATTTACTACTCAATGTAAATTCACATTAACTTATGGCAACACACAAAACATAAAGAAATCTATCACATTCAATTTAACAAATAATCTTCAACAAGCTGATCTTGATCTCATTACTCAACATAAATTTCGACTAGAATTTGTTCATTATGTACGAACAGCATTAGAAAAAATGTGTGAAATAAAAACAAAATCAATGTTCAAAAGTCGACAACATAAAGCAGCAATAAATCAAATTCAAAAATTAGAAGATAAAATGAGAAAATATGCAGATGGAAAGGATGAATTTATCAAAGATTTATTTACAGATTTAACTGGACAAGTAAAACAAGCTATTGAAAAAGAAGATTGGTTTAATAAATGGGGCATACATTTTTTACCTAGTTTAACATGTAAGTATAGATCAAATAAATATATAAAATAATTAACAAATACTTTTTAATAAGAAATATTCATCTTATCTAAATATTAGATTGATTGATTTTTCTAAAGAATATGAAAAGAAAAAGTACATTATATTTTTATTTGATAAGTTATAATAATATATGAAAAGATTCATTGAAATATTTATTAAAACTTTACATAATATTCCTGATTTAGCAATGAAAATTCTCTTATTTGACATTTTTATTTTCTAAATAGAAGATTGAGTTCGTAGAGAATTCAAAAATAAAAATTCTATTTCTTATTAATTTTATATTTTAGGTGCTCATCTTCTTCAATTTTGTAATAATTTTAAAGATCCCGGTATTCAACATTATGGAAATGGGAAACTTTTCTCAGAAATACGTGATGAAATGGATGATATATTTTGCAGTCTACCTGCTCCAAAATGTTCAAAAGATGGTGCTAAAATAAATATGTCAGTTTTTTATAATGCTGCTGGTGGATGTTTTTATGGAGAATGTAAAGTACATCTTATGAATGGAACAACTAAATTGATAAAAGATATTAAACCAGGTGATCGAATAGCACCACATGGTGCAATGATTAGATTTGTTGTTAAAACAATATGTCAAAATCAAAAAGCAAATATGGTTATAGTGAGTATCAAATAGTTTTAAATGAATAAATTATGGTTATTTAATTTTCTTTTTTTTCTTTTTGTTTATTTTTCAAATGATTAGTTTATTTGTGATTGAATTTGTTAAACTTTCTTTTGTTTTTTTTTCTATAGCTTGAAAATGATTTGATCATTACTGCATGGCATCCAATTCGATATGCTGGAGAATGGATTATGCCTTGTTCACTTGTTTCATCAGTGAATGAAATTTCTTGTGAAGCTATATATAATTTTGTATTAGATCAAGGTCACACGATGTTAGTCAATGATGTTGAATGTGTAACTTTAGGACATGGATTTAAAGAAGATGTTGTTCGTCATAGTTACTATGGAAGTGAAAGAGTAATTAATGATTTAGAAAGACTTAATTTGGAACAAAACAATGGAGGATTGATTGAAATTACTGAAAAAATGTTGGTACGTAGTATAAAAAGTGGTCTTGTAAATGGATTACAATCACAACAAATATTGGTTCAATGAAGAAATATAAAACCATTTCTTTTCATATATGTAATTAATTTAAATAAACGAATGACTTTGTATTATATGATAATATAACTTTTTCAGTCAAGCATCATCAGACTGATTCAATTCTGTTATATTTGTAAATAAACTCGTTTTTCAACAAACACTTTAAGGTTGAATCAATGTGAAAGTAATTAAAAGGCTTAACAAATAGTGTATAATAATATCAAGAAACACACAATTGAGCAGAAAAAAAATATAACAGCTCAAATGAATCATTTAGCTAATTTATCGGCATAAATTCATAACAATTTATTTTGTACATTGAATTTCGAGGATAACACACTTGTAGAATTATTTTCATCTGCTTTCTAAAATTAAGTCTTGTATTTTTTCGAACTAAATTAACCGAAAAATCTATCTGATTCGAAACTCTTTGACAAAATTGAATTTGGTAGTTTCAGGATGAATAGGCATATGAGTCAAAAATGGAACGAGGACTTTTTGTCATATAAACAATATGTTGTGGTATTTTATAGTGCAATACATCTGTACATCGCCAATTAATTTTGTAGAAAGTAACGATGAAAAGTGAAAAAAAAAATAATGTGGAAATACTATTTAAAAAAATTGAAGACTGAATTGAAAAAAAAAAGGACTGACACATTTACAAAACCCAAAAAAATTCTTTCTACAAGTAATTAGATTCGAAGAATTTTCTCGTAAAACTCTGTTACATTATGTAGGCAACCAAAAAATTTCCAAGAAGTACACAAAACATTCGCGATTTAACTCAAAAATTTTATTTCATCGAAAGAATTTGACAGATTTTGATACAAAAGATTCTTCTAACAAAATAACGAAAAAGTTTTATAGATTGCGTAAATTTGTCAATTCTTTTTCAATGTAGGATTCAATTTTTTTTAGTGAATAGAAATATAAAATATTGTAACATTTTGCTCACAATGATTTGTCCAAGCTAAGAATGTGTCTATGTGATGAACTTTTTATAATGAATAGTTCGTATCAAGATATTCTTTGACAAAAATTCCAATCACCTGAAAAATATCTCAGATCTTCAATTTTAAACCATTATGGTTTTTTTAAAATTCAATCGAAAAACTTTTAGGTTTGCAAATGAATCTTAGCATATTTTGTTATTATCAGTAAATAATGCGAAAAAATCATAATGACGCTAACAAATGAAGATTCATATGATTTTCAATTTACTTTATCAAATAAATATTGACAAATAAAATACTAACTTCTTCTTTCTGATAGCATAATATATTATTGATATGGTAAGCAGATCTATTATATTTTGATGTCAACATTTAATGAATAAGTATCACTAACAAATATTTTCTTAATAACAGTGGGTGGACAATATAATATATATACGGTCTTTTTTTCTTGAATCAAGTTTCAAAAGTAAAGCAAAATAAAAACACGCTTGGATGTGTATTATGATTAAAACGAAAGTATTTCTCGTGTGTTTGCTCATTGTAACAAGTAAGTTAATATAATCCTTGAAGTTTGTAGTAGGTCTTCACCTTCCTCAAAAATTGATCTTAGGTCAAATATATTCAAAGCGTAAGAGATTTTTTTAAGATAAGTTGGCACTGTGGTAGAGAGATAATGCTAAAATTTTCAATCCTATAGCATAATGTTTTTTTAGAAAATAATCACCAAACAAGAGTCAAAGATAGCTCATTTGCCAATCTATAATTCTTTGGGAGTCATCATTAGACAAATTTAATTATTATTTTATTTAAAAGAACATGTCAGAACGTAGTGCCTAAGAAAGTCGTTTTTCTTTTCAAATTCTTTTTTTTATGCGAAGAAAACAGATAACCAGTTGAATAGCTCAAAAAAACTGAAAAAATTATCATCTATTTATAGAAGTGCATTTTTATATAATAATATAAAAGCTTGCTTCTAAAAATAGGCTCTGTCAGGCACTAGAGGTTCACATGCTCTTTGAAACAAAGAAAAAAGCAATTGGCTATAATAAAGATCCATTGAGAATTCTGTGATGCGCAGTCAGAAAAGAAAAAACAGAGAAGAAAAACGGAAAAGATTTCCGGCTTTTTCTGAAAAAAGGACCATATTTTTCAAGCAGAAGGTGATAGAAATCATCGAAAATTTTTGGAAAAACCATGTATCAAAGAAAAATTATATTGTTTATGAAGCACCAACCCAAATTATTCTCTCTCCTATGCATAGATCTAAATTTCATTAATTCTACCGAAAATGAGCTTGTTTTGAGAGGTGCCCTAATTAATATGCAGCATCATTATCACTTTCGAATCTTTATTTTAAAAATCTAAACGATATTGTTGGATTTCATCTACTGAACATATTGTTGCAATTCGTTATAGACTGTTTATTTTTCGACACACGTAGAAAACAAGAGAAAAAGAAAGATTAGAAATTAGTCGAAAGACTTCTAAATAAAATGCTGAATGATTTTGTTCTGCTACTGAAAAATCCTTTATAAGAATGAAACTATGCTATGAGAAATCGAATTTCACTTTATAACTTTTGCATATTTTGTTTCTTGAACACAGAAAGAAATATTTTAAATTCGAAATTACGAAATAATTCTATATAGTTAATTATGATTATTTTCAAAGTTGGTTAATAGACTTATTCAGTTGAAAATGACTCGTTCACTGGAAAAGTTCTCTCCCAAAACAAGTGAATTTTATTAAGTAAGATGTAAACAAATAAATGAGAGTAACACATCGAAACGAACTATTGTCTTACTACCGAAGTAATATTTGTATTTTACTTCTTAGAAAATCATTGGTCTATTTTAATAAGAAATAATTTATGTCATTCTTTGTAGTTATTGAACACAGCAATGGTGCATTCCAATGTTACAAGTGTAATGATTGTGGATCGACTTGGAATCCTAATAAGGCTGTTATGGTCTTCACTGAAGGCGGAAATAATTATTGTACAGTGAGTTCTTTTTTGTATAGCTTCGAAACTCAAATAATTGTATCGATTATTTGTAGAAACGAGTAGTGGGTACCTCAGTGACCAAGGATTTCAGTGCAACATGCACTACAGGCAGTGGTCTCCATTGTTGTCAGAATGAGTTGTGCAACTCATCCAATCCACAATATCATATTAACTTTGGTCTCCTCTTACTATTATCTATGCTTGGCTTAATTATGCAAAAATTTAACTGACAGAACTATATTGATAATTTTTTTTTTAATTTCTGTTAATCTTTAATAACACTCATAAATTTTACTTATTGGTGCCAAAACAAAAATCAATAAATGCAGCTTTTGTTCGAGAAAAAATTCGACGAATAGAATAATACTTTGCTATTGAGTCACATAGAAATATTTTGAGAATTATTAAGTTTCAAAAGTGAGATATTTTTATGTTTTGTATTTATTATTATAAAATTGCACTATTTTACTATTACAAAAAAGCGGTCTCCATCGGTTCAAAAAATTAGTAAAACAAGATTTGCAAGTGGTCGTTCGACATAGAATGTCTATGATAAATACAACACACGGTCCAAAATATAAAAATAGGGAGTGATACCACTAAGATAATTATAAGATCAGCAGAGACTATATAGGAAAAACATATATTACTTTGTCAAGTCTGTTTGTTTTTAGTGTGTTTGATTTTTATATGAAGAAGATTTTTAAAAAATCGACTAGTCTACTGTATGCCAAATAGACTTTTGTTAACAGTTTCTATGACTTAACTGTTGAAATTTATAACGTGTGACTTTTGCTCAGTCATATGTGTAAAGAAAAGATATATAGTCGAGTTTACAGCGAAGAGTATCAACATTTAATAGTTTGAATATATATTCCAAATATTTTAAATGATTTTTTGCGATGATCTTATTTAAATCGATGTTCATCTTTCGATAGACATGTCATATAAAACATAACATAACCTGAAATAATCGACAAGAATTGTAAATTGTAGCTTGCAATCAATTTTTTATAGACTTGAACGTATCATTATTGGAAAAAAATTGAAAGAATAGAATTAGCAGTTCTCGATAGGCTCTTTCGATGTCAAACAATCTGTATTTTTCGTTATATTAAACTATTGAAATGTTGCGATATCTTCACTTGTTAACAGTTCAAACGAAGCATCTTCGTATGATGTACTTCAAAGATTCTTATAGGTCCACGACAAGATAATTTTTCTTTAATGGATGTATATTTTATATTGTTGAAAGAACAAAAAAGATTGTTATAACTCAGAAACAATGGATCATTGGTTTTTTATTAAAATATTAAATGAACTATTAGTCTATGACTTCACATTGTTCATTGTAGAAACATGAAAAGATTTCAATACCTTTTCTACGTTATAATCCTAAATAACAATTTGGATAAAAGCAATCAGAGATTAACAAAAATATTCGTCTTCTTTGAGAAATATGAGTTAAAGCCATATAATCTGAAATAGAAAACATATCTACAACATGACACACTACTTTCTCCTACTGACACAGTTCCGAACAATTTAGAGTAGTCTAATACAAAAAAAAAGCTTCTGTTGTTGATGATATCATCATGAAAGATGCATATGATAGTAAAATCAATGTTTGATACAGGTTTTTTGTACTAAAAAACATACTATGTTGTAATTTAATATTCTGGAAAGATTGTCACTATCATAGCAAACATGCCCATAGAAAATAATATCTACTACTTGTTCAATTAATGTATGCGAACATTAATTATCATGTTAGGCAATCACATGTTACAATAAACTAACAAACAAATAATGAAACTTAACCATAGTATACTCATATTCATAAAAATATTCTGTGATCATTTGAAAAAATATTCATGTTATTATAGTTTTTGAGCTTCTCATTAATTTACATCTAGAATTGTTATTAACGTAATTAGTGGTAGGCGGTGAGTCGGACTCATGACTTCACTCTTTGATTTGAGTCATTCATTCAAAAAGAAATAATAAAAGTTGATAATTCAACACCAAAATCAGTTTTATTTCAAACTTCATATTTATTGAAGAAAAACATTAAAGCGAGGATATAAATAAACAAACAAACAAACAAACAACATATATGTCATAAATGATAGTGAATTGTTTATTGTAGGGATTTCAATAAGTTCTTTGACTTTAAATGTGAGATACTACTCCAGGCCAATGGTTCTGACGCCCAAATCCATGGATTTCTGACAGAAAACTCCGGAAAATTATAGAAATTTGGAAGCAGAAATCTGGTGATCGATTTTGCTTGGCTACACTCGATGACGGCCGGCACTGAAATAATCCGAAACACCGAAACATCTGATCACCAGCGTTCTGCTTTCAACTCTCTATTATTATCCATAGTTTTTCGGCCAAAACCTGTTGCAATTAACTCAATCTGGACGTAGTAGTAGATGATAACTATTTGATTGAATAACATTAAACTATAGATTGTTGATGAGGTAATGATGCGACTGTTGGAACAGTATTGTGATTTTCTGAAGGTCCAACGTGATTGCCAGGGCAAATTTTAAGTTTTTTGTGTATCAATCGAATAAGTTCTTTTCTATAGACACGACCAGATAGAAGATATAAGAAGAACGATGTAACATAAGAAAAGTCAAAAAGTAAGTGAAAAATTGTATGTATAAAGGAAAAAGTAGATGTAGTTCGAATTGGGTTCGGGAATGATAATATAAGATAAATAATACATGATGGTAAAGTGAGCAAAACATGTATACTCACTTGCAAGAGAAGCATCCGAACCAGTTGACGTTCAGTACGATTATAACGTGAAGCTACTACTTGATTCATACGAGACCGATTTGAATTTTGAATAGTCATAAGACCAAAAAGCATCATCAGGCCAGGTGGAACCACAGCAAATAGAAAAATTTGCGTAATTAAATATGCTCGACCGAAGATACTAGAAGATTCTACAACACACCTATATTCTCTGCCTTGCTGTAAATCGGCTTTGACTAAGATGTAGATGGAGAAGAGTAAAAAGATGGCGAAAATAATGAAGATCATCCATTGCGCTACTTGAACACAACAAAATTTACGAATTTGAGGACTTCTTGAAGTAGCACAATATCTGTCAATTGAAGCAACTACAATCAAGTAGGGAGAAAAAAATGCACTTGCATTAATCATATAAGTGATAATTTTGCATGAGATTATTGAGTGGTTAGATAGTATTATCTTATATCCATCGTCTAATAAATTATAGGTAAAAATAGTACATGAATAAAAAAGATTCATGCTAGCGAGTGCAAGAAAATATCGAGAACATGAATGATAATATAAGGCGGACCGAGTAAGTACAGCAATATTGAGCAAATTACCTGTCACACCAATAATTATGATTATAGGTAAGGTGGCTCGTATAAGTTGTATACCAATCATTACTAACGAATCGGACATGGTCTATTTTTCCCTTGTTCGTATGTTTGTGAGTGTATATTCTTTTTTTACTAAAACTGAAATAGATTATTATTAAAACACAGTTTAGAGAATATGTTAAAATAAATGACTTTGATAATGTCGGATATTATTCTTTTAATTTTGCTATTCTAAATCTTGTAACAAATCGTATCATTAAAGTAATTTGGATGTTGCTGATGAATGGATGCGAAGATCTCCTTTTGAGTTAACACGTCTGAAATCATATGTTTTCTTTGAACTCAAAAAGAACACACAGTTTTAAAGCAATTTTATGAGTTTATTCCAAGAAGCTTTAATGATATGATGTCATCAAGGACGTTTTATGTTATATCAGTACTCGATTTCTATTTTCATCAATTATGCCAGAATAAATTTTTGAAACTATCCACTGTTTAACACAAAGATCAAACATAAAATAAACCAATGTTTTTTTATTGAAAAAATAAAAACTTGATCTCTACTTCATTCGAAAATTATTCATCATTTAGATATTCAATTTAAAAGTGATAATAAAATTTAAATATTTTTACATATAGTGATTGACATATTTTCAAATTTTAAGTTATCAATACAAATAACTTTTTATAATAGCATAGAAAATTTTAACGAAATACTATATAGAAATTGAAACACTATGACATGTAATTAGAAGTATGTGTTCTTAAAATTGTGCTAAAATTTTTTTCAATAATATCTTTCTGTGTTATGATCATTAGAAATTCTCTGGTCAATAAAAAAAATAATAGGTTCAATTATAAACGAAGTCATTAGTTATTTCATTTTTTAACATGAAAAAAAAAAATTATGATAATATCCATTCATAGCTGCCCTCTACAATGAAAATGAATCATCTCCAAATATGTACATAATCTATTGATGACTCATGTTAAACTAATATTTTTACAAAAGATAGCAGAAATTTGTTTTTTTTCTGCGTTTCTTACCTGGCAAAAAAATCAAATTCAAGGTTTTATGTTCTGTAATAATACTTTGAATTTTAGATTAAAAAAAAAGACATTCCTTTAGCACGTGCTCCACCGTTAATTAATAGTATCATTATAGCTGGTGCTCTTTTTCATAGAAAAAATGCTCCACACACTAATTAGTGTGTGAAGCATTTTTTCTATGCAAAGTAGCATCAGCTATAATGTTACTATTAATTAACGGTGAAGCACGTGCTAAAGGAATAACCATTTTTAATAATTTCTATTGATCATACAAATGGAAAAATTGTACTGAGATCAAAAGTAGAGAGTTCAGATCAAAATTAATCCTGCACTTAAGCATCGTCAAGAAGAAGTTTATTTAAGATTTTTAACTAAAAATAGACAGTAGATTGACAAAACTTTTCTATGCTTAAGAAAGATTCTCATCTAAAGTCATTCAGTTAACAAACAATATGTTAATTATCAAAAATTGTGAAAAAAAAATGATTTGAATATATTCTTTATAATATCTCATCTACTTTGAATATTTCATCATTAAAATATTAAATAAAAGAACTTTGATCTCAATAAGTTTTATTTAATTAAAAAGCTCATTGAATATCATTATTTATTAAGATTTAAGTATAATTAATAAATTTCAATAGTAAAATATTATATATATTTATTTATTTTAATGAAAAAAATTATTACTTTTATAGATTTGTTTTTTTGCATGTAATTTTCTGTGTTGCAAATTTTTTCAACATCGATAATACATTTTCATAATTAAAATGGTCAGTAACATAACTTTTTCCAATTTACAACAAATTCTAATTCGTGCACCTCTCTGTTATTATTATTCATCACAAAAATCTGCATGTTTACAAGAAATTAGTTCATCCTATTTACATCGATTAGGACCAGGTCAACTACCATTCGAACATTCTATTACAAATCATGATAGTACATCATTTATTCCATGTATGCTTATACCTCATGGTGCTTATTGTGATTCAGGACCACTTTATGCTCACGGTTACTATTGGATAAATTCATTTGTTTTCGATACAGCACTTATTATAGGAACAAATCATGGTGGAATGGGTTCATCTAATGTGAGTTTGTCACCTGACAATTGGCAAACACCACTTGGTGTTATGGAAATTGACACAGATTTATTTAATACACTTATCTCAGTCTTAGGTATTCAAACAATTGATAGAGAAGCTCATCGAACAGAACATTCAATAGAAAATCAATTACCATTTTTAAAACATTTACGACCAAAAGCAAAATTTGTTGCATTATCATTTTCAAGATTAAATGATTTAAATCAAGGATATAAAGTATGTGAACAAATTACAAAAGCAATCAATTTATATCGACAACAAACAGGTATTAATCATAATAGTAAAGATTATAACGATTTCAACTGAAACCAAAAAAAAAATCATATTTTCTTACCGTTGGTTTTTGTTTTTGCATTAAAGATCTTGTAAAATGAATAACCTTGATTCAATTTGAAGTATCTCTAATTTTCAACAATGCATGTCTTAATTACATGTCATCGAGTAGAAAGGAATTATATATATATATCTTTCTGCGAACTACAGATTCTTTTTATAGTGAACAAATTTTACTCATTCACCTTACATAGAAAGTTTTATATTGATGTAACTAACTGACCTTTTCAATATACTTTTTTTTAAACGATTTAAATGTTTCATGAAACTATTGTTTTTTTATCTATTCTAATCGATTGAAAATATTTTTCTAGGTAAACGATTAGTTATTATTTCCACGACGGATTATACTCATTACGGTCCTGGTTATGGTCAAATTCGAGCAGAAAATTTATCTGAAAATGAAGAACATGCTCGTATTCATGATAAACCTATTATACAATCGATTTTATCGAATGATCCTGAGAGACTCTTACAAACTCAATGGACAACTCAAAATTCAATGTGTGGACTTTGGCCATCATTAATTGTCATGATTTTATCAAAAATATTGAATAATAATCAAGGACATTGGAAACTTCTTTGTTATAATGTCAGTTCAGAAGTTATGAACAGTGGCAAAGATGTTTGTGGTTTTGCATCACTTGTATATTCGAACACTTTGTGAAAAATATATATATATATATATATATGCCTAAAATTTTTTTGCTTTAATAAATTGATTGATACTCAGCTATTTACTTAACGGAATCTCCTCCTTTCCGAGATTTCTCGAGAATAGCTCCACGAAAAATTATGAAACTTTCAAGGCACATAGATCTTGATAAATAGACCACAAGTTGTCATAGTCTCAAAATTTTCAGATACTTTCTTCAGGAAAATATGAGGATTTCAAAGACCAGAAGTTTGCTGCCTCCGTCGACAACTCTATACTTCATTTTTTCGTGCTACATTTTTTTTCTTTGAAAAATATCTTTCACAGAGCTCAGAAGAAGCAAAATACTGGAAACATCGTCAAGCAAAAATATGTTTTTTTTTAATGGTACTCATTTTTTAAAGTCGGAAGAATTTCGTAACAACAACATTTTGAAGAGAGCAACAATGTGTAAGTCAATTTGATTAAAATATTCATAAAAAAATTGAGCCCGACCTCACGCATCGTGTGGGCTAAAAGTAGGGAAAACTTCGGGTTTTATTCAAAAATTGGTTTCGAGAAAAACAAAAAAAAACAAATTCTCCTGTATTTATCAGAACTTTTTTCTCTAACTAAAGTGATGGAAAACTAGCCGTATTCGTCGGTGTGATGGGTCCATGATCCATACTCTAAATACCTTTGGAATGAGAAATAATCATTATCATTAAGAGAATTTTGTATAGAAAAGAATAATTATAACGTGAGCTTTTCTGCTAAAGGCTTCGAAAATTAGATTTAATAAAAGTACTAAATAACAAAGAACACCGTTCGTTTATATGGCATTTGACAGAGTGCACTTTGGAGGCTGAATTAGCCATGAAATATCGAAAAACTAAGGACATATGATTAATATTTATTCGTTAATATTAAATATACGATATAGAAAGATTTATGCATTAGATATTCATTTAAATGTGTAAAATATACATTAACTCTTTTTCTATGATAGTATCATAGAATCAGAAGATAATAATATTGCCTGTTTCATGAATAAAATTTTGCATATTTAATACAAAATGATTTGTTTATTATAACAATTTAAAACAAAAATATATTTTCAACATGAACATTGTTACAAATAATCTTATTTGATAACCTTTTTTTAAACATTTTTAAGATTTTATCTTAGTTATAAAATTTTATTGAATTATACATAATGATCTCGAACTATAGCGTTATATATTAAGACTTATTGAAACAAAAACTAAATATGATTCTATCGTTTATGATTAAATAAAATTCAACAGAAAAAAAAATCTTTTGATTGTCAAGATATCTTTTAAGAATTTAATATGAATTAATCCTCGCTCTATTCCTCATGTTTCACAAACTTCTTGAATTTATATTATATATATAATGAATATTTAAAATTTAGTATCTCAATCATACAAAAAAAAAACAAAAGTTGCAATTTTTATTCAATAAATTCACATATTGAATAATGGAAAAAATTCCTTTGTTAATTAATGTGTATGGTAATAGGTGTCTATATATATATATATATATTCTTATCTATTCTTCTAATAGTATCATGCTTGTCGAATGAATTAGGCAGCACTCAACAACGTCGACGACACACTCCATCGATCATCGTCACTGACAACTGGTGTTATATGTTATCATGGCAAACAAATCTTAACTGTACGATCATTTGCGAGTTCATTGATTCTATCATTGATGATCTTTTACGAGATGCAGCAATTAACACGCCTCTCGTTTTTTTCTCTCTTCTCTTCTATCGTCAATCATGTTTTCTTATTTCGTCACCATTGTAATGTTTTTACAACTGGAGCTTGTCTTACATTCTAATTAAATCCTAGTACATATAACTAATACTATTTCTTTTTTTATATGAATTCTTCTAAGATACAGATAAATTGGATGAGAAAAAGCCAAGCAAAAAAAAAAAGAAAATGAGAGAGAGAGAGAGAAGATCAACGATATGGTAAATTAACTTTGTTTCGTCTGACACAAGTCAATAAATCACCGTCGATTTGTTTTTCTTCGACACAATCATATATAGACAGACATTGGAATGTATGTATGTGTAGACTGAAAAAACGAATAAGACAAAAAAGAAACAAAAAAACGAGAATCTTGAAAAATAATTTATTAGAGACAAGAGAAAGTAATAGCAGCAATGAAGAAGCGGGTAATGTGGTACAAGTATAAAGCAAACGAAAACAACTACATGTTCAAGAAATAATATTGAGGATAGAAAACAAAAAACAAAACAAAAGAAGAAATCTTTTAGTGAATGAACAAGAGCAAAGAAAAAAAGAAAACATTATGATGTTGAAGGGATAAGTGAATTATCATTATATCTGCACAGCCAAATCGGTACGTTTTTTTAGGAGGGGCTCAAACGAAAAAAAAGAAAAGATATGCAAAAGAATTGTTCAGTTTTAATCGCATAAGCGATAAGCAGCCGATTGTGTTCCACCTAATGATGACGATTCGCTTATTTCAAAAATATATGCAATACATAAAAGTAATTCATCCGTATCTTTTGATATAACTGTCTAAATAATCATAATAAAACAAAGAAAAAGAAAAAGAATTAATTTAACATAAAAATAACAAAAGAAAAAAAAATAAATCAATTAAATACTTACTTGAAGTACACCTAAATGTTCAAGTACATTATTCATCATTTCACGTGTATATAGTCCTGTTTTAAGTTTTTTCATAAAATCAATCATAAAAGTACACATTGTTGTATCAATTGAACGATGAATACATTTACCAATATCATTATATTTTCTTGTACCATTCTATAATAAAAACAAAAAAAAGAAAAATTTTATTTTTAACTAATGATTTACTAGTTCATACTTCAATTTTTTCAGCAACAGTGTTTCCAAATGAACATGCTTTTGTTGTTATACAAATATTTATATTATCCTCCGAACTTTCAAAACTAAAATTTAAAAAAAAAAAAAAAGATTAAATTCATAAAAGTAAACTAAATTTTTCTTACATTGAAGAATAATGATATGTATTTGTTACATTCTCTTGATAATTCATATTGACCTAAAACAAAAACAAATGATAAAAAAAAAATAAAAATAAAAATCAATCGAAAATCAATAAATTTATACCCAAATTTTAACAACATAAAATGCGTCATGTGGTCCTCCATCATAAAGTTCTTTTAACATTGGAAATAAATCGATTATTTGGCTCACTTTGATACGCTTTAAAACAAAATATTTCAAATATGCTATGACTAATCTGATTAACTTACTTCAGGTTTCATATCAGTACCAGCTTCTTGACTGATATGAAGAAGATAATGTCTCTAAAAACATTCATTCATTTATTTATTTAAGAAAAAACAAAAATGAAAAAATTTTATTTCTTACTGAATCCATGTCACGTTTTGATTCAATATATGCAGCAAGTTCGACAAGTTTTATTCGATTTGAACTTATAAAACGTGTTGTTAATGAATTTGTTGTACTTGCTGTTGGTATAAGATCAGTTGTTGTTGTCGATGATGGAGAAAATGGTTTGATACTAATATATATTAAAAAGAAAAAAACAAAATTTTATTTTTAAATCAATAAATTTAATTCATTTTTTTGTTTTGAAAAATCTTAAAACATACTCAATATAAGGTGTTGTTGATTGTTGCCAAAGACTCTAAATAAAAAAAAGTACAAGTTTTTATTAAATTAATAGAAAATTATTCATATACGATTGTTGATGGTGATGGATATGGTGAAAGAGTAGCTGTCGGTTTAAATGGAGATGATGATGATGTTGGTGCTATATGCATATTTGTTGTTGGTGAAAAAAGTGATACAGCTGTACGATGATGTGCATAATATGGTGAAGTACTATCATTTATAATCGGTGATGTTGTTGTTGTATCACGTAATGGATGATAATGTTGATTCATAACAAATGGACGATGTTGTTCTTTTAAATTGGAATCCTATAACAAAAAGAAAACAAAGCGAATTTTTTTTGTTTTCTTTATTTATTTATTTAATTACTTTAAATAATGATTGAAGTTCTTTTGATTTTCGTTTGGCAAGAACTTGAATATGTGATGATACTTGTTTTCTTGTACGTGATTTACCCGTACGCATTTTAATATAACGTGAAATAAGTTCATTTCTACCAAACATTTTACCTTCATCAGATAAAATTATTTTTCGTCGTCCACATGGAGGATAAATAGCTAATGCTTCCTAAATAATTAATTTAAATTTCAAAAAACAAAAAAACAAACTAAATAAAAATTAAATTTTACATGAAAACTTTGTTCAATATCTGGACTCCAAACACCTTCACCATCATTATTTTGATCATCATCTAATTCATCAGTTGATGTTGATTCTTCAGATTTAATTGAACAACTTGTTCGATCAAGATCTTTAACAAGTTGTAATGATGCTGGCCAACCAGACGGCATACTGTAAAATAAAATTAAATCAATATAAATAAATCATGATAGTGATGATCATCGAAGGCAGAATAGATAAAGTAACAACAATCAAAAAAAAAAGAAAACGTTACATCATACACATACACACACACGCATATACACACACACAGAAGTTAATTCGATGAGCAAACAAGACATGTTGTTTGTTTCGAGCTTAATAAGAAATGATCTTCGCGTGGCGATGGTCCATCACATGTGGTGGTAGTGGGAACAAATAAATGATTGAAAATACAATGACAAAAAAAGAATAGATATGATTGCTTTTGTGTATCTTTACAATTGTCGACACACAGATGTGTCATCAAACGATTCATCAGCACATATTCACTTACTTACTTGAATCGTGCCGGCTCGATTAGATTGCTAGCGGTCATCATTTTATATAAATATATTTTTCCTCTTCTTTTTGTTTAATAATATATCAAATAATTGACCAAAGACAAACAATAATAAAGGTGTTAAAGAATAGATATATCTGAATAAGAGAAAAGATTATCTTCGTACTTCTCCTTTGATG